ACACACACACACACACACATATGGGGCATGGAGCCCCCATAGACACAGCTTGTCCTTCAGAGCATTTTTCTTTAAGCAGATTGGTACTATTTCTGTTTGCAGAGCTCCCAGTATTCCCAAACCTTACCCCTTTATTTTTAGCTTTCAAGTTTTTGCTTCAGCTGATGAGAACAGGAAAAGAAGGTGGTATATTTATTGCTGGCAAACAGCTTGGAAATTCCAAGTAAAGAAGCTAATCAAGGCAGAAGGATTATAATAATCAAAGTACAAAATTTGCATATTTAGAGTATGGTTACTGAGAAATAACAATGCCTTGGTTATGCAAATCAAACCCTCAGCTACAGTGAAGAAATTTGCATATCTGGGAGAAATCTGTCACGTTATGCATCGGTAACTACATTGTAAGTGGCTGAAAGAACTGGCTTTTAACAGAATATTAAATATAATTGCCAGTAGAATTTTTTATTACCTAGTGATACAGAATAAACTTAACTCATTTGGAGCCTGAATGAAAAGGCAGGTCTTCTTGTCTGTAGGAAGGAATACCAATTGTGTGTTACCAGTTGTGTTGTGGAAGCATCAATACCAGTTGTGTGTTACCAACTGCTTTCATCCTTTTTGTGCGTAGGAGGTGGTTTAAAGTAGCTTTCTCGAGAAAGGACTGCCAAAAACACATGAAAGTTTAAGGCTACTTATTCATCTCTGCATAATAAAATCCTGCTTGCTTCATTTTAATTTTTTTAAATGAAGAAAAATAAGTTGGACTAAAAAGTTTCATAGGTAACAATCCTAGAAAAATAAACGCAGACTACACTACTATAACAATTTTCTATTATCTATTAAAATCAAGATGAGTTAACAGTAGGCTCAGAGGTTTTATAGTAAAACTAAAAAAAAAAGGGGAGAGATTCTCTTTAAAAATTAGTGTATGGCAGTATTTGTGCCATTCATGCATGGGAAAATAAATATATTACTTCCGGTTAATGTTTATTTCCAATTTCCTCTCGTGAATGATGCTCATCTTAGTTCAGATGTAAACGTCAGGCTGACTCACACAAGCTGGTCACTGCCTGCAAATATAAATTGTGGTTTGGTGTTACACTGAAACATGAGAGACAATCCAAGCAAGCATGTCCAGCTTACTAAGTATGACTTATAATGCATGTTCAGAAGGATGTTCCACTTCCACAGATAAAACATGAAGGAAACTGAGCAAGATGCTCAAAGACCTGGCTACTACTCGTGTCCAGGACTGGTCAGTGCACTGCGGGGTGGTCCTCAGAGTACTTACCATCCTCTGTGGGCACGTAGATATTCAAGTACAGACAGTCTTCGTTTTGATCTTGAACATATGTCACCACAGTATCCAGATTGGCTGTGAACCAGACTGGCAGCATGTCGTTGAGGAGTGACCTCTCATCCAGGTACTGTGGGCAGACGGCGGCAAACTGCGTGGCGTTGCGGACACCCGTCCACGAGGAGGGCGGCTCGGGGGGCTGGAATCGCCTTTCTCCCGTCGGAGGGGAGGCATAGGGAACACCCAGGTACTGCTCCACCGGACCCAGGATCTCATTAGGCAAAGGTGTTCTTAAGCCACGTATTTTGCCATAATTCGTGGTCACAACTGGATATTGTGCTTGGCCATCAATGAGAGTAAATCTTATAGCCAGTGCAGTTATCCACAGGAGGAAATTAGAATTCAGCATGACACACACTGGGGTGAAGATCAAAGGCAGCCATAGGAGTCCCATTGGTTTCGACATTATTTAAAACAACATCAGCAAGGCTCTTTTTTCCACAGCCAGGAGAAAATTTATCAGTCAAGGAAAATGAAAACCAATAAAATAATGAAGTAGTCAAAAAAAGATGAAGTGAGGGAAAACTTAACCCTGTTCAGGCAGCGAAAAACCAAAAACTGATGTGTAATAGTTGCCTCAGCTGACTGGCCGTATACAAATCCCAATGACAGAAGAAACACGTGAATATTTGCCTCTAAGGCCCATCCCAGACTTCTTTGTTGACTTAATCCTGGTAACTCACAGCACCTCCCAGTACATTATTCCTGCAGTTATTCCACTTCTCCAGCAAAACAGCTCCTTCCAGTGAAGTCCAGCCCACTCAGTCAGCCTGTGGCCAAAAGAAAACAAGCAATTAAAAATCAACAGCTACATTCATATTGGCACAAATCTAAAAAAAAAAAACCCAAACAATTAATTTATACACTGTTTCCACACCAAAGCCCACAAATGTTTTATGAACTTTAGGCACTGTGGTTAGCTATGTGTGGCCAAAGATACATAAGATAAGAGAGCTGGAAAGTGAAGCCACAAGTTTGTCAGAGGTTATACTACAAACCAAACTTTTCTGCATCTGTACATGCTTCTAAACCAAACCACAGCCCAAACATTGCTGCTTTCAGGAAGGGTATCACACTGAAGCGCAAGCTCCAGGGTATTCTCTGCCCTAAATAAACAGCAACTCCTTTTTAAGCATATTTGCACTCCCACAGGAAATATTCATTAAATATTTTGCTGCATTGAATAATTTCTGTTACATGACTCCTACATAGTACTGTTCACAAATATGCCTACTCTTCCATATGACAACCTAATTTACTTCCATCTAACTTAGAAATTCCCATCAATGTGAGTTAGTCAAAATTGGACACAAAGTTATTGGTTATCTGTTTTCTTTGTTCTATGTCTGACAAAAAGGAAAAATGGAAACTGGAAAGAAAGAAAAGTGTGATAACAATCTCCCCAGAGTCAGACTTTGGCCTACATAGTGTTACAACTATGTAACATTGCTTTCTTGCATGATCCTACTTTTAATTTTTAGATAGAGGGCAATTCATGCAACAATTCTGCTAATTTTTAATGAAATACAAGTCACTCATATAGACACTAACCATTACAAGTAACACAAATAAACACACAGCACTTGTTAATACTACCAGGACTACAGTTTTCAGTCAGGACCCTGTCTCATGAAGATATAAAATGAGTTTTCAAGAGCATAAAAAAACAAAGTAAGTAGCTATTAGCAGTTACAAAAAAAACAAAAACAAAAGCACGAACAAACAAACAAACAAAACAAAAACAACAACAACAACAAAAGATAACAGGAGACATCTATGCAGATTATTTCAGACAAGGAAAGGCATTTGAAAGAAAGATATTTCATTATATCAAACTCCCTGGAATTCTTCAATTACTTCATTTTAGCACTTGTACCACAACATTTTTGAAATATATGAACATCAGAGGCCAGAAAAATAGCATATATATATATTTATGCCAAACCAAAATTTTCACTGGTATGTAATAGGCTCTGATGCTGCCTCCAAGGAACTTGCAATGTAAGTGTAATTTCTGAAGGACAAAACAGTAACAGCTCTGAATGTCACGTGGCCAAGGGCACCACCATGGTCATCAGTCCCTGCCTGAGTTATGCTGCAGGAAGCTCCGTGCCCAGACCCACTCCCAGCCCGTGTCTTGCCCTGACTGGGTCTCCAGGCTGCCTTGGACCTGAATCCGCACCCTGTCTGGCCTGATGAATGTTGGGCAGTGGCAGAGTCCTGTCCTTGTCCCAAGCCCAGCCGCAAAAGGATGCTTCAGGAGGACACCACACCAGGGAGACTATTGCCCTGCCAGCTCTACAGTGCCCACAGCTCCTGCCACATCTTCTTCCATGGGGCAGCCCCACTCCAGCTGCCACCTGACACTGGTCAGCTGGCTCCTGGTCATCCGACATTCCTCCTCAAACAGTGCCTTCCCTTCTGGTTCTTGCATCTTTAACAACAGGAGACAACTGCAGGCAATTGATTTTGGGTAACATTCTCTCATGTTCTCTCCCATCCTGACTTGGGTACAATTTTTGACCATGCAGCACAAAGCACATTTTCCAGTTGTACCCAGCTGAGGATTTAATCTTTGCTCAGGGAGCAGCAACAGATCCTATTCCCCTGACACCCACACTACAGAAGTTTAAGAAACAGAAATGTGGAATAAAGCATGGAGAAAATTGACAAGGTGGAAGGAAAGATGGTGATCTAGATGACAAAAAACGGAGGGAGAAAAAATGTGTCTGAGCAAACAGCGAATTAAAAGAGAGGAAACAAAACTAGAAAGAAAAAGGGAATGACAAATAAACAAGTCTGAATACATTACCAGCATGGAAAGAAAAATAACAACATAAAAGAAAGTAGAACTTCTCGGTTGATACATGTACTACTAATAGATACTATATAGAGATAATATACAACTGTCAAAAATGTGACTTAATAATTAATATTTATCTATGCTAAGTACAGGGTGGTTTTGAATCAAATATCTGGTTACATGTCATTATTTTGAATACAGTGAAAGGACAGGAAAAGGGAACCAATCATTGTCAACCAGGAACTGAATACGCTATGTGATTCCTTATCTAGGAAATGAAGCCAACAGAAGTTAGTTTTGTGTGTATTAAAACCACTCATGCAATGTGTTTTATCTCCCCCTGTACCTTAACCAGAGCATTCACAGAATTTGCATTTCTGCTTCAAGTACACATAGAAATTTACATTTTAAGGGTCTTGAATGCATCAGGAAATTAACTGTTGGCTAAGACACAGAATAGAGCAAGCTCACTCATCCCCACTGCCTGACCTATAGCAGACCTGCAGCCTTTGCCAACCACCACAAAGACAAAAACAGCAGACAGAGACAGGCACCTTAAGGTGGGCAAGGTGTATACCATGAAAGAGAAATTCTACGATGATAAGTGAGAATAAAACCACTATTTATTGTAACATGTTCTGGATATTAAAATGGCAAGAGAGGCAATCAAAGTTTTAATAATTTCTTATTAAACATGTCTTTTCAAAACATTTATATAAGTAATAAATTATGTATGACCACTGTATAAACTCTTTAAAGAGAAGTCTCATGAAGAAAATTGTTTTGCAAAGACAGTATTAGACAAAAAGTATTCCACTTCTCTGTTGGTTATTACTAGGGAAATTACCATTTTCATAAGGTTACTTATAAAATTACTTATGAATACATATGAAATACATATGTATTCATACACAGAAGAAGATGGAATAATCTTTCAGGAAGAATGTCAAGAGATAAGGAAGAAGGTGTGCTAGCTACACATTCATGAATGAGCTGATTTTGCTATGTGCATCACTAAAACAGCTGGAAGATGTAAACAGAAAGACAGAGTGCTCACAAAGATATTAATCTTAAATAGAAAACTGTATGCATTTTAGAAATTTATTTAAAAAAAATAATTTCTCAAGAACATGAATTGTGGCTCTTCTTTCCCTTTTCTTCCTGCCCTTGAAACATATACCATTTCAAAATTTATGAAATAAAGTTGTTTTTTTGTTGGTTTTGGTTTTGTTGGTTTGGGTTTTCATTTGGAGAGGGGAGTTGTGTTTGTTTCAGTTTGTTGTTTTGTTTTGTTTTTTGTTTTTTTTTTTTTCTTTAATTAGGTAATTAGAAATATTAAACATACATAAAAACTGTAATAAATTATTGTAGTGGCCACAGACTGTAAATAAGAACTACCCAAGGCACAGCAATTTGTGAATATGCCTACAGTATTCATTTTAGCAATACATATATATAATTTGGAACTTCAGCAGTAAACTAATTATACAGTTGTCTTCCCAATGCAGGCTTAAATGCACCTCCACATCAAACTGAGCACTGCAACCTCTTAGCCATCACTCTACTTAAAATGTTTGCTCAGTAGCAAAAGAATACCTCTTCCAAATATCAGTAAATTAATGGCATTTTTGTCTATGAGCTTTCAAATAGCAAAAGCAGATATTTCTTTAGGGTTTCTTGTTTAGCTTCTAGGACTCTTCTCTTGATACACTGAAATGAGTTAAGCTTCATTCTTCCTCATACTACATAAAATCATTCAGAAAAGTCAGATAAAGTCACAGCGAACAACATAAAGGAGCATCAATCATGAACTAATGTGCAGTTTCTGGATTGGATCCCTTAAAAGGTCGGGGGGATTGTTATTAGCTGAAATTAGCCAATTGTTGCTACTTTCAAATCTCAGAACTGTAACTGTAGCAATGATGGGTTTCAAATTAACATGCAGCCAAGTCTTATGTCTTTTTCCTAAAAGAACCTACATGTTTATTTTGTTGGATTTTTTGCAAGCATTTTCCCAGTAAGACTAGATTTCAACAATGTATTATTAAATTATTATGAAAAAAACCCAACAAATCCAGACTTATAATACCCCTAAGTTAGCATTATAAACTTCAATAGGGATGAGAATATGATCTACATGTCTACATTATTAATGGATCAATGAAGTTATATGTCAGTATTATTTCTGTGGTAGTACACTGTTGTTCAGTCACAGCAATTCAGCAGATAATAGGGATGAGAGAGGCTTTTAGTGATACAGAACCATCACTTGTCATTTACATCACATTCTAAAATATCTCTCATTAAAATGCATTTCTTATTCTTTTGAAGATTTAAAGATTAAAAATGAAAATTAACTAAAATAACAGTGATACAAATTTAAGAACTATGATACACCCTTTATTAAAGTGAAGATAAATGCCAGCTATACAAACATCACTCTGGACCTTGAAGTTGGTCTTAGATTTATGGTTAGAAATAACTGAAGACAGTGACAGATCATTTTATATATATATATA